TGAAGACTTATATTGACAATCTTAGTGATGGGTGAAATCAGTAGGTCCAGATTCTTTATTAGAAGTTTGGTTGAATGGGGTCAGAGTCACAAGAAGTGGGTTTTGATGAACGAATGAGTTGTTCTATTTCCTTGGGACTAAATGTTCTGAAATGTGACAGGGGGTCACCTGCAAACATTGGTTCACTGTAATCGCCATCACAGGCAAGACCATGACGAATTTTCTCAATTTTTGCGATAAAGAAGGAATTGAACGAGTTTGCCAGTTCCTTCTGTTCCTCTGCTGGAGACTGAGTATCTTGTTCTCGTCCCTTTCCAAGCAGTTTGCCCATGAGCCGATAAAGGGATGCTGGCTTACCCATCTCCATAGTCTGACAGGATAAGCAAGAGCTTCTTTTCAAGAGCTGAAATTCCATCCTCATCTGCATTTGCATAATCCTTCGAATATTCGGGATGAATGTATACAAATAAAACAAATATGGTGGTAGGACACACTTTTGCGTTCAGTTTGAAAACAATAACATTTGCCCATTGATCATAGAGTCTCTGAAAGTCAGAAGCTACTTGGTGGTTAATGAAAACACTGATTCCTCCTGAAAATCTACCTCGTTCACTTTCTCGTTTAGCATCTACAATGAAACATTTATAGAGGTTAAATACATTTTCCAGCTTATCATATGCATCAGTTGCCGGCGGACACATTGTTTCCAGAAAGCAGAATACATCAAAAACAATTTACACTGTCTATGAATATCGTAATTTTCCAATTTTGAATGTAAACCGTGAATGTTCCAGGAAAGAAAAAATAAGACAAGCGAGTTAGTAGTCAGTTCGGTTCTATCGTTCTCCGGCATTAATGGGTACAACGAGGACTGGTCGGCTCGGAGTCAGTATAATGTGTCTGAGTGGGGTATTGATGCTTTACTGCGGCATGGTATCTCAGTGGGCTAGCACTATAAAATCAGTTTAAGTCTGGGCTAGTACAAGCAGCCGCACATACACATACACATGCACGTCGTCATATGAGCGTAATATTCTCAAGCACGACGTTAAACCCAATTTCACCTCACCTCACCTCTATCGTTCTCAGTGTTACAAGGTTGAGTATGATTTGAGTCACTGAGGTCACGGCCGGTATCCTAGCAGGGGGACGAAGGGGTTGTGTCGATGACGTAGGTCCCGATAGCTGTCGTCGCTCCCAGTTCTTCCTCTGTCCGACCTGTCTGACATCATCGCTAGCTTCGTCATACGCATACACACTGCCTTCAATGATAAGCTTATCATAACTCATAAACGAAAATTTGGCTTCGCTTCGGCTTTCTCCATCACAGGTAACAGTTGCGATCTTATCAATGGTACCCTCTCTGTAAGGTCTTCCGATACCCGATTTTGTTTGTCGCCTTTAAGTTTAAGCCGGGTCGACTTAGTTACCATCTGCTTATCTTTAACAATTATCGGTCGGTTAGTGCCTTTAGAGTTCAGTCTATGAGCCTTCTCGATAGAAACAGTATCACTGTCATCAAGTATGTCTCTCTCCTTACAGAATTCTCTCACTTTGGTTTCTGTCTGTTCCCAGGTCTCACCTCTGCTCTCTGCCAACCCGAAGAAGATCACATTATTGCGTCGTGAATGTGCTTCAAGTGTATCTACTTTCATTTCAAGAAAAACGACTCGTTCATTCAAACTCACGTTTTCACTTTTCAGACCATCCAGATATTGTCCTGTATCGAGCTCATGTTGATCTGTATCGCCTTGAGCGTTAAACCGAGGTCGTCCATTGTTGTTGAAATTTCTAACTCACAGGTTACAATTTGACTCCATAACCTGGTCTGAATAGAAGATTGACTGATGTTGGGTATCGTTTAGGTGGGCCGGGGTTAGACTCTATATCGCCTGCACATATCAGGAGGGAAACTGCAAGGTATAAGATGACACACCTGTTGTACGTTTACCACCTGGTAGCGTTATAAGGGGGATCGGGCGTGGAGTTCGCCTGCCAGGTTGAAAAAATGTTCCAATCCTCTGTGTCCATGCTTCTACAGACACCGACATGAATGAAAGAGTGTTCACTGTACCTTATATTACAGGAATGTCAATTCAGTTTTGGGTATATATGCTTGTTCAGTCGTTTCAGGCAGAAATGACCATAGGTAAACACAGGTGGGATCGCTCAGGTACACGCCGGAAGTGTATTTGTACAGTACTTATGCTTCCTGCATGGATCCTACCAGGATTTACATCATCACTTCAGCCGTTGGCGATTGTGCTCCATACAAAATGTATTTACCCAATGTTTTCAAGCAGTTCAATTTCTTTAAAAGGTTAACATTTAAATAACACTTAACATTATCAAAACGATCTTTGACTATTTTCACACTGAAATATTTATCCTTTGTGATGGAAAAATCAACACAGTCATGACTAATCGTGATTCTTTCATCACGGGGAATACACAAAAGGCGGCTCCTCACCTTTAATTCATACGTATTCGTGTGCATATCGTGAATGGCCAATACGACATCGTCGCATTATGACCTCTTTAAACCTGGGCTGACAACCATAGTAAGTGTAACCGATAGTTGGTTTCATGTCATGAAGCTTATTGATACCTGCTTGAGTGTTCCACTTCTCTTATTATATCCCCGTTACAAATGAGGAGGAATGAGCCGGAATGCTGTCGGATTGAAAATTCCTTGAGATTCCTGGAAATTCGAACTGCATTCTAAAACGTGTTACTGCATTCGAAATGCATTCCAACTATTCGGGTCAATTCTTGTAACATGCCGAATGTTTTGAGCATGTTCAAAACTTTCGAGGTACATTCGAAGTGGAAAAATATCGAACGGTATCCTACCTGCGTATTATGAACGTATTCGAGGGAGAATGGAAAAGCAAACCACTTCAAATCCTGCCAGAACGCCCCGAATGCTCTTAAAATGAGCCCTGACGCCATCAGAACACCGCCGTATCGCATAAAAACGTGTAACGAGTCGCCAGTAAAACGGCAGTCTTACAAAGAGTGAAACAATTGTTTATTTTGACATTCTCTCCCGAATGCAGTTCGAATTTTGGAAATATTTTTTTCTGGCTGATTCTGCTTGATTCCTGTCAATTCGATATATGTGTAAAGAGGCTTTTAGATTTGTCATATATCATCTCATAAGTGGCTTATAGTTCGTGGAGGGGATGAGAAGTGGTGTCACAGATTGGCTGAGTGTTGTTTTAGCACCAGCATTAGCCAGATATTCCAACATGGATGGGTAACCGACAAAAATACAAAGTACAAACACGGATACTGAAGACCAATTTAAGCAAGGTCTTTATGGGTTGTGTCTCTATATAAAAATCAAACTGTGATTCAGGAAATCGCTATTATAACGCGACATTTTCCCACTCAACGTGAAGGTTTGTTTTGGTAATCTGGAACTATCGACTACACTAAGTGATGCCTCAGCATATTTGATTGAAGACGGGTCTGCCATGGTTGTCCTGCCTGATTTCTACAATGGACAAAGGTCCAACTTTCACTTTCTTTACATATTTTCCTCATTCGTAATGTTCTTAGATGAAGATAAGAGGGCCCATGTAACCAAAGGCATCAGGATTCCTGCTGCAATTATCTCACAATATCTGACAACAGGTAGGGGCGGTGGGTTAGCCTAGTGGTTCAGCGTTCGCTCGTCACGCCGAGAACCCGGGTTCGATTCCCCACATGGGTACAATGTGTGAAACCCATTTCTGGTGTCCCCCGCCGTGATATTGCTGGAATGTTGCTAAAAGCGGTGTAAACCTAAACTCACTCACTCACTGACGACAGGTCGTTATGTATCCCACACAATCCATATGCCTACAGACTATTGATCAGGCGGGGTTCACTACCAATTGTGTTGATGTTCATGCTGTTGATCACTGGTTTGTTTGGTCAAGACTAGACTATTTACAGACCGTCGCCATGTAGCTGGAATATTGAGATCGGCGTAAACCAACAAACCAAACCCAAACCAGATGGCGTTGGGCATGACGTGTGGTGTTACACGAAGAAGTAAATACCTTCCTGTTTATATGGGAAACACCACACTTGCTCATTTCCACATATCGTGGCCTTTCTGTTAAATATTCGATCACATTCTGGGAAATCAATTTTAGTTAAAATGCTCGTTTAAAGAAAATGAATCATCAGTCTTTAGGGGACGCCCAAGACTATGTAAATGCTGTATTTAGGAGTTTAACTTGGGTTTAGTTTTACGCCACACTCAGCAATATTCCAGCTATATGGCAGCGCTCTGTAAGTAATCGAGTCTGGACCAGATAATCTATTGATAAACATCGATCAGCATCGATCTACGCAATTGGAAACTGATGACATGTGTCAACCAAGTCAGCGAGACTGGCCACCCGATCCCGTTAGTCGCCTCTTACGACAAGCATGGGTTACTGAAGATCCCTGTGGGTTACTGAAGATCCCTGTGGGTTACTGAAGATCAATTATAACCCGGATATTCACGGGTCGTGGTTAAAACAAGTTATAAAATCATAATAAATAAATTTGAATTTTTAAAACCTGTCAACGAAGGACAGTAAAAACAATCAAGAATATCACATATATAGATAGAAGACTAGTATGAAAATCTAAAAACGTTTAACCATAGAAGACAATACAACATAAAAACCGGCTATAGATTGCCAACAACTGAAGGTAGATCACCATGCATATGGACTTATAGTACATTTGCTTCCTGCCTGGGCCCAAGCTGGATTTACAAAATACCTATAAATTTTAGCAATTTAGACAAATTTAGCCTTGAATTAAAAGAACACAAATTCTACGATTAAAAAAGTAGTAAGATTAAATATACTTTGAATGTTTTAGGACGTATCCAGAGCAACGCATTGATGCTTACAACACATATAACATGACGCTAGATTTTGATCATAGAACGCACCCTCCATTTCCATGTAACTGTTTATATACGTGTGTACTTCATCTGTATGATAACAGTATCGACATGATGCAGCTTAAAGGTTAAGTGGAAACATCCCTCCATCTGCTAAAGGAATCCGGTCCAGTGTCAATCCACGTTATACTGTCTTGACATAAACACCGAAAGACGTCAGACACCGTTGGAGACTATATACAGCGACATCAGTTACGACTCTACAGTATCTCTCTTCACTGTACAGGTAGGGTACATGTATTGTTATTGTAAACCTATTGTTTGTGTTTGAATGCTTTGGGTCACTTATAGTCGTAAAGGTACATTGTGATTGTTATTTAATGCAATTCTGAGGAAAATGCCAGTTGTATGATCATGTCTGAATCAGACAATCCAGGGATTGATGTTAAGAGTGAGTGAGTTCGTTTTACGCCGCTTTAATTCCAGCAATATTACGGCGGGGACATCTGAAATGGGCTTCACACATTATACCCATATTGGGAATCGAAACCGGGTCTTCGGCGTGACGAGCGAAAGCTTTAACCACTAGGCTACCCCACCGCCTCTTGTCCGGTACAAAATCGAATATTTACATCATATATATTTAAATCAAATAGCTGGCATATTGTTCAATGCGGCGTTAAACACGCCCATGTAATACAATAGTTACTTTAATAATGGAACAAATATATAACTAAACGTGTGTTTCCTTTCATTGCAGAGCAGTGCAAGCCAAAATATGTTACCAAACTCAACCACTGACAACACTGATGTACCTACAAATACCGCTTCTTATATATGGAAATGGCACGGGGCAGAGGTCATATTTCTCTGTCTCATGTTTGTCTTCGCAATCCTTGGCAACATCCTCGTCATCTACATATACCACTTCCGGTGGCGTCGGTCTAACTTCAGTCTGTTCATTGAGGTCCTTGCCGTCCTGGACCTGACCAATGCCAGCATCACCATCCCCTCTTCCTGATCATCACTCTGAATGACCACCATCAAAAGTTCGCTGCCTTGTGTCAAACAAGTTCGTTCGTTGCCATAACTACAGTGATGGCTTCTGCCGTTGTGCTGGTCGTTATTGCTTTTGACCGAAACAGAAACATCTGCAACCCTTTGAAGAAGAAGATCAGTGTGAAGGCAGCTCGGACATGCTGTCTTCTGGCTGTATCCCTTGGGATTGTTGTAGCAATTCCCGGCATATTTGTGAACGGACGGAGAGAGCTTATGTTTGAAGACAACGGAGTACGGATCAACATTACACAGTGCTACTTCACGGAGGAGATGGACGGAACGGCATTGTTCTGGGTTTTTATGACCATCCTGAGCGTAGTGTTTCTCGCTGTAATGGTCATCCTAGGTGTCTTGTACGTTTCTATATATCGTGCATTGAAGATACACACAGCCAGAAGGCCTTCAACAACAATATGCGAGAAAAAGAATAAAATGTTTCGGTCTCATAAGACATCAGCCAAAATATTTTTTGCTGTAACGGTTGCGTTTTTCTGCAGCTACTTTCCTTACTTCATCGCAGTCATAGTTTTTTTGTTTGACGGGCAATTGAACGTGTTATCTCCAGGCGTGAAAGCTGCAGCCGACATTGCCAAGTTGTCTCCCTTGATGAGCAATGCCATCAACCCTCTCATCTATAGTGTGTCATCCAAGCGCTTCCGGAAGGAAGTGTTCGACGTCTTCCGGTGCAAAGTTTTCAAACAGACACGTTCGGAGCGCGATCGTACGGTGGTGCAGGGCACGGCGTCGTCCACGGCTGACGTTGAGACATAGACTTGACGACGTCCATAATGAGTATTAAACATGTACGTCCATGACTCTAAACATTTACCAAACATTGTTTATGTAACGTTAAGCTGTTGTATTCATCTATGTGTGATAAAGGAATGTGCTGTCCATGCTGTACAAGAGGGGTCGGGGTGGGGTAGCCTAATGGATAAAGCGTCCGCTTGTCACCATGAAGACCCGGGTTCGATTCCCCTCATGGGAACAATGTGTGAAACCCATTTCTGGTGTCCCGCGCCGTGATGTTGCTGGAATATTGCTAAAATAGTATTCATTCATTCATGCTATATTCATTGTCAAACTTATACAGTTTGTTGTAAAACGAATATTTAAGGTTTAATAAACCATATAACTCATGAACTGTTGGGTTTGGGTTCTATTTGTGAATCTGTTATAATACTTGACTGCCGGGTTTAATGTGTTCTCAATTCGTGGACTGCAGTTACTATTAATAGAAACTGACATCTTCAATTTGGAAAAAGTTCAAGTATTCCTCACTCTGTGAAAGATATTGATGAGCGAATTTCTTTGCAAAATAGCTGGAATCGACTTAAGAACCCTAATGGATGATATTGTTCCTTCACACGTATTTGCAATGATAGCAATCGTCAAACCTGTAACAGAACTCATACTACGCTATGAAACAAATATTTCAAACGCTATTATCAGTTTCCTTTTCTCAGAAAAAGTATTATAACTCTCTTAAAACAAAATAGTCTTTAATTAAATGAATGGCAATTGCATGAAGAGGGTGAAAGTACTGAAACAAATATCAGTTATTTCCACACCAACAATCTGTGTATTGTGACAACAGATAATGAGTTGGTCAATTCGAAACTTGACAGAACTGTTACTATTTTTCATCATTGTAATTCTGCACAAACGTGGCCTACTATATTGTTAAACTTATATAGAAATTCTACATCATATAAGAATATCGCTTATACATTGTTAAATATTATCTCAAATATAAAATATATTTATATTTATAAAATATAAAGTGTCATGTCATTTGACTTCAGAGCTGCCATACATTTGATGTCAATCACTGGATTGTCTGGCCCAGACTCAATTATTTACAGACCGCCGTCATAGAGCTGGAATATTGCTGGGTGCATAGTTCAAATGAACACAAATGTTAGCAGGTTATCATAATCTGTTAAAACAAAATGTGGAGATTCTCGGGATGATCATAAATTGAAACACAGTTTTTGGAAAGTGCCTTATCAATGACACATAAGAATTCATGCAAAGGCAAGATTAGCCAAGTACAACACAAAGTGACGAGGGACATTTAGCAGCTTTGGAAAATAAAAAAATGGAGAACATTCTCAGAGATGAGAGCGTTGATAAGGCTGTTTTTCTGTTCGACTTTTATATAATTCAGAGAAAAGAATAAATGGCCATAGATGTGTTTGTGCATATGACTTAAACTGTAATATCCTGGTTAACCCGGCTGAATGTTAAACTTGCATAGTTGTTGACTCCTTCTCCGACGAAGAATTGCATATTTTTGTGAGATAGACAGACCAGTGAAAAGTTAAAGACGTTTATTCACACACACACACACGCACGCACACACGCACGCACGCACGCACGCACACACACACACACACACACACTGAATCCTGAGGAAACTGTACCAGGCAAGATTGGTCAAAGGATAACCACAAAGCATCGCCAGTGAATGAAATGTACCCTCCGACATATATAGAGGATATTATATGAGTGCCCATGTCATACTATGTTCACAACACGAGTGCCCAAATGTTTGAATTTCCCGAGCAAGAGCGAGTGTCGTAAACATAGTATGATATGGACACGAATATAATATTCTGTCTATTACCGAAGTCGTCAAAATGGAAAATAAACCCAAATCTGCTTTCAAACATAGGCTGGCTACACGCCGTCAAGACGTGACGTCATAGCATTGTTCATGACGTCACGTCACCATGACAAAGTGATATTTTGCCCAAGGGTATCGTATGAAAAATATGGACCCCGATATTTTCGCCCTCGTAGGTAATAAACATGCATACATTCATCCACCTTTGAGTCCAAACTGGTTCCGACTTGGTTCCTGACTGTGGGCTGCAAACACCTGTGGGCTGCCCAAATCGATGCTTATGATGTCAATCACTGGATTGTCTGGTCCACACCCGATTATTTAGAGACCGCCGTCATACAGCTGAATGCGGTGTTAAACAAACAAATTTAAACATACAAACAAACAAACAGTATTGTCTCAACCTATTTGAGTTATTTCCCTTTATATGCCGTGTTGACGTAATCGACGTCGGCTTGAAAAAGCAGGTTATTTTTATTTACAGTGTTGTGATGGAAATCTACCCTGAAAATGGAGAATCCTTTGTCCTTCAGATTCATATAGGTATTGTACAACCCAACATATTTATCCGTTTTGGGGTAGTCCAAGAACAGGTGCCATTCTATCAGCAATTGTCTGACACTTGAGAGCACCCCCGACTCAACTAAATCCTTCACTGATGGCCACTCGCTTGTCTCTACGTCAATCTTGAGAACATCGATGGTTTTCTGAAGAAGAAATAACTAAAGGTAAACAATGTACAAGGTCTTTGAAATGAGTGAGTTTAAACATAAAATCGGCAGTAATTCAACCATATCGTCTCGACAAACTATACACATATAAGAAATACATGTTGAGTTCTTTGTTTTGTTTTTTTTCAGTTTAGTTTTACGCCGCACTCAGCAATATTCGGTCATACCAGCAAACCTGTTTGGTCTTTTGTAATGCCGAAATTCACTTTAAAGTTTATGAAATATCCCCTGTACCATTGCACTATGCTAACCATGCGCGGTACTAAAGGACGCCATTTTGTTTCCTACAGACGAAACCCGTGAAGGTCCGGGTTAGAATTGATCTTCAGTAAACCATGCTTGTCGTAAGAGGCGTCTAACGGGATCGGGTGGTCAGGCTCGCTGGCTTGGTTGACACATGTCATCGGTTCCCAATTGCGCAGATCGATGCTCCTGCTCTTGATCACTGGATTGTCTGGTCCAGACTCGATTATTTACAGACAGCCGCCATAGAGCTGGAATATTGCTGAGTGCGGCGTAATACTAAACTCACTCACTCACTTAACTATTGAATATTGGGGTAGTCCTTAACTTTTTTGGTTGAGTATAGTTTACATTAACTGTTGTCACAGCTAGATAACTTAGAACGTCGTTGCTGATAATCAAATATGTGGGCGTCGACAACTGCTCAAAGATTGCAGGTTACTGGTATTCAGAATGCTGTCATGTCATTGGGGGTCATGTCGATGGTCATTCAGCCTGTTGGCGAGAAAACATCAACGTTCAGGCCGACCACGAGTGCTATTGAGGATACAAACCTTCTTGAGCGAGTTTGGTTTTACGTCGCTTTTAGCAATATTCCAGCAACATCACGGCGGGTAAACCTTCTTGAATCACAAGAAGTCATCCGTTCATATCAAGACCGTGTCATCCATATTTTTGCAACATAACGCTCAGATCCCCAGAGCTGCACGACTAGCTTGGTGTCAAGGTCTGCGTCACTGGGATTTGACGTCATGAGGAAGAGTTCATTTATCCGACCAAAGTAGATTTCATATGTCGATTTCATAAGTGATGGCCGAGCTCGTGTTTGGCTCCCAGGAACACTGCATGTGTACGGAATATCTTGGAGCTATTGACCTTTGACAGGGGCTTTGACCATTGGTGGCCTGCCACGTGATTGTAAACTTGACTACCGGTATTGTCAATCAGACAAAATCTGAATGGACAACGGTATACATCACTTGCATCCTAGACAGGGTTGTTGTACCACACTTCTACGACCATCCTCTGAACACACAACCACTCTTCATGGACGCCAATGCTAGGCCACATCGTGTACGTGCCTTTGGTGATTTTGTACGTCAAGAGGAGTTCTACAGCAACTCTATCTGCCCGCCAGAAGAAATCTTTGTCCCTTACAACATGTTTTTTTGACATTTTGGTTCTCAAAACTATGATGTATGGGAACAAGCTCTCGATCAAGAATTCAACGCAATACCTCAAACGACCACAGTTATCATCCATCCAAGATGAGCCATTCTTTTGTCGTGTTTGCTTCTCTGAATGAAGTAATTTTTTTCAATCTTTTTGTACTTATATGTGCCATTTAATTATTCATTGAGGGTCATTTTATCCAGATTGTAAACTAAGTTAAGGTTTGGATAAGTCCATGGTTAATGATATTAAGACAATTATGGAGTGCTGAGATACGTTTTTTGTGTGTAAATATTAATAACAAAATGCCACACTCTACTTGATCGTTTTTCATATGTTAACACCGTGAATTAAGTATAAGTAAGCTTTATATAGAACAAACTCTATGGATAACAACTTCTTTTTATTGGTGAGTGCGACGTTTCGATACAGATTCTTGTACCGTTGTCAAGCATAATGACAAGAATCTGTATCGAAACGTCGCACTCACCAATAAAAAGAAGTTGTTATCCATAAAAGTTTGTTCTATATTGTACTTCCCAACTTCTAAAATGCCACTCAAAGAAGTTATAAGTAAGCTTGCTCAAACATAATATAAATGAAGTTAAGATTCGACCAACATGTCGAATGACATGTACAAACTGAGTGACTGGAGTAAGATAGAAAAACAAGATCATTTGCATGAAGAGTGTCTCCATGTTTACCGATATTACCTCGAGTTGCGGTTAAAAATAATGTTTCTGAGAGAAAGATGGAAACCTCAAACATCAAGGACATCAAATAAATGCCTTTAATATCCTCCATGCCAGTTCCATACAGCTAAAATGGTAAAATTGAGAGGGCAATTAACTGGACCCCTAATATTTGAGAAAAAATGCGAGCTTGTTCTGCTTCATCGGTAGGCATACTAGGCACAAATATTTCCATTAAAAAATCTATACGAAAAGGGATAAAAAGGTTGCTGTACTTACATTTGCATGTCCAAGCATTTTCTTGACAGACTGGACGCGTCTCATTTTCCATATTTGTCTGTTGTGGACGTAGACATCCTTTCTTGCCACAAAGGAGTCGCTGTCAAAGCCTGAGATACCGAGGTTGTGGAAATGGACGTTCTTGCTTCTGTCAAAGTCTTGTTTTCCTATACTGAGAGAGGATGTCGGTTAATATAATACATTCATACTGACGATGTTTCTCATCATTGTGTGACAATGAGAGTAAGTGATATCTCTTTCAGCTCATGCTATAATATAAATGTATATAGTTGTGGAGAACGTAAAAAATACCGTTATAGATAAACCTTTGTGACCAGATGAAAGATAAACGAGAATAAGAGGAGAAACAAGTGTTCACAGTCAGGTCAGGTAGTATTGAAAGAACAGTTAGGTAGTATTCAAAGAAAGTCAAGGACTATTCAAATTTGTCTTGTTTATTTCTTTGTTGTTTAACGCTGCACTGCATATATTCCAGCTATATGGCCGCGGTCTGTAAATAATCGAGTCTGGACCAGACAATCTAGTGATGACTGACTGACTGACTGACTGAGTTTGGTTTTACGCCGCTTTTAGCAATATTCCAGCAACATCACGGCGGGGGAAACCAGAAATGGGCTTCACATATTTTACCCATGTGGGGATTCGAACCCAGGTCTTCAGCGTGACGAGCCAACGCTTTAACCACTAGGCTACCCCACCGCCCGTCGCCTCTAACGACAAGCATAGGTTGCTAAGGACCAATTCTCAGCTATTGAGAAAGGTATTGTTAACATGAATATATACTACTCACACTTTGCTAAGGATCACAAAAATTCCCAACTTCACTTAAACATAGATTTATAATTTGAAATTGTATCCATTTAAAGCTAGATAAATAATGATATGGTAACCCCTCTTTAGGCAAACAGCCACTTTAATGTAACCTTATGCACTTGATACATGAGTAACATAAAAATGGTTTTCATGGCACCAATCAACCATTAAGCAAATCATGGAACGAGTCATTGACAAATACACAACACCTGTGTATAGCAGGTTTAGGATCCTCAAAATGCAGTGACATACTGAAACCTAGGATCCATGCTTACAATAAGCTTAGATATTTGAACCAAAGTAGACCCTACATCATAGTTTTCTGTTGAATCAATGATTTGACCCATATCAAAGTGTGAATAGTATATAAACACTTCTGGATTTTGTCTTTTCGGGGAGGTTCCTTATAGAAATGACAAGCACAAGGAAAGGTCCTGTGTGTTAGTATTCCAAAACTACTGACACCATCACCACACCTTAAAAATATCACTGGTCCCCGAGGAAAATGATATGACTGTAATACCTTTTTAATTAATTAACGGGTTTTGCGATATTCAAGGAAATAGGATAATTATTTCTACAACATTGTACATAAATTGTAGGTTTGCCCATAAAAGATTCATACCTTGGATCAAATGAATGGACCTCACATCCGAGGTTCCCCATTGCGTCGTCGAATGTCCAGTCGCCACTGATCCTGTCAAGCACAAATTACAGAACTACAGAACTTACATTTAAGAGGGGCGGTGGGGTAGCCTAGTGGTTAAAGCGTTGGCTCGTCACGCCGAAGACCCGGGGTTCGAATCCCCACATGGGTACATTGCGTGAAGCCCATTTCTGGTTTCCCCCGCCGTGTTGTTGCTGGAATATTGCTTAAAGCGGCGTAAAACCAAACTCACTCACTCACTCACATTTAAGAAAATCTGATTTGCGTGTTTTATTTTACGAATAAAGGTTTTCAGTATCTTTTGGTCAAAGTATGTAACATATTTTGTGATATTGTAAGTGCCAAGTGTTTTTCGGGGCATAACACAAATACAGGAACTAACAAAATTGCTGTCGCCTCCGAAAATCAATTAAAACATACATCTCTGAGAATCAGTCTCAAATTTCACATGGGAGACTGTATTTTGTACATAAGGACATCATTTTTGTTTGTTGCTTGTTGTTCAACGCCGCACTCAGCAATTTTCCAGCAATATTGAGGTATGTAAATATTCGAGGCTATACCACCGAATCCAGTGATCAACAACACGAGCATCGATCTACGATGTGATACGATGACATGTGTCAACCAAGTCAGCGAGTCTGACCACCTGATCCCACCTCTTACGACAAGCCTGTGTTACTGAAGGCCAATTCTACCCGGATCTTCACGGGTACATCAGATAGAGGTGAGGTGAAGTGAAACTTGGTTTTACGACGTGCTTGAGAATATTTCGCTCATATGACGACGTGCATGCTTGTGTATGTGTATGTGCGGCTGCTTGTACTAGCCCAGACTTAAGCTGGTTTTATAGTGCTAGCCCACTGAGATACCATGCCGCAGTGAAGCATGAATACCCCACTCAGACACATTATACTGACTCCGAGCCGACAGTCCTTGTTGTACCCATTAATGCCGAGCGCCAGGCAGAGACCAACAAGTGCCATATTTTAACGTCTTTTGGTATGACGCGGTCGGGGATCGAACCCGCGACCTTCCGCTCTCCTGGCGGACGCTCTAACCACTACACCACGGAGGCAGTCACATCAGACAGAAAGGGGCTACAAGAAAAGATATACATACCCAAAGGAATACACTAAACAGGGTGGCTTGATCTCATATGGTTTGTCCATACACACATGCCAGTTTCCCATGGCAACCTTTTTCTTGCAGTCGTATTCCATTGGTTTCTGCCACTCCCTGAAACATCATAATAGCAACTGTTACCATACAATTGATGATAGGATTCGAACCATTGACCTTCTCATCCGCAGTGTCCACGTAAGAGGTTAACCCAGTCAGCAACCTGATATGATATATTTGTTGTTTAACGCCGTACTCAGCAATATTCCAGCTATATGATGTCGGTCCGTAAATAATTATGTCTGGACAAGACAATCCAGAGACTAAAATCAAGAGCATAAATTTAGAAGATATACGTACTGTGTTTGGAAATTAGGTGAATGTTAGACCGAATTGATAGTTTCTAAATTTCGTTTGAGACCGAACGAGTAGCGTGAGGTTTCAAATCATTGACTGTAACGAAACAAATATATCGTTTACCAGGTAGGCAAATGTTACTAACATTTTGCTGTAAATTTTGTATAAATAGGGATGTATTTTTACAAGGCTTTCTGATACTGTTTGTTTATGTTTGGGGATGTACATTGTAATTGAGTTTGACTATTTTCATAATAGAAGGTAATATGATAGTGAAGTTCCCTAATAACTGTCGAGGAAAAATGATATAACTGTAGTTTTAGAGTTTTAATAAATGTTTTATTAGCATTTCCATCACGTCTGTTATATTCTTTATTTCAGTACTCACAAGGCCACGGGCCTATACTACAGCTCATTATTAATACAACATACAACTTCATAGAACATATACATACTTACATTTAGCCATACCCTGTGTAGTTATTAATTTATTTGTTTATTTATTTATTTTTTTCATTTATCCAATTATTCCTGCAAGAAAAGGCACAATATATAAATATTGATACATTTTTACATTTGGGTTTGTTAACAACAGTGTAAATTTAGTGGAGTTTGGGTACTTATAATAATATGCTGGGATATATTTTTCTCTAAGTGATAAGTATAATGGACAAACAAGTAAAAAAGTGGTATTCATCCTCAATCAATTCTAAGCTACATAGTTTACAAATTCTTTTATCTCGCTTGATGTTTGTGTAACGGCCAGTCTGTTGTGTTGATATTAGCCATGCTTTGGGTCAAGCTGAAGTTGTGCGGTAGTGTTGTATACGTGCGCAGTGAAGCGGTCGTGAAATCAGACGCATTTTCAATCCAAATTGTTAGTGTGTAATTTTATTGATTGTCCAATCAAATTCGAGTATTTCACGTAGTCATGGTAGCATACCCAATTGGGAATCGATGACATGCATCAGAGAGCATACCCACCCGATCCCGGTATAATTGTCGCCTCTTAAGACACGCATGGGTTGTTCTACCCTGGATCTTCACGGGTATATTGACATGGTGAGGACGCCATATACAGGACAACTACACACTCAGTTACATTCTCCGCGTCAACAGAAGACATGTCCCGGGCCGCAAGGCAGGGTATAAATATTCATCCCTTCACCGGGCGCAAATGTATCGGCCATAAAATGTACTAAGCTCGTGGGAATCGATCACGCACCTTTTAATCAAACATCGGATGCCTTGTCCATGATATTTGTTTCTCGTTTGCAATTCGGACATGAAGAATAAAATAGCAGTTACGGTCAAAGGGAAGCTACTCTGCAGAAAAATACATGCATACTTTTCCGGAGCACCCACTTTGAACAATCTTCATTTACCATTCTGCCATTACACCATATCGAGTCCAGGATCACAGGGCTACATAGATATTACGTAGCTATTTTATTAAACCTGATCTGTAAAAACGATCTTTAAGGGTATGTCTCTTAGAGTTATTAGTAAAACACTAACGTCCTATTTTTTGAAGCGCACATAAAATATCAGAATCGTAAACGCACAAAAGAATAATACATAAACACAGTTTGGTTTGGTTTATTTGTTGTTGAACGGCGGACTCAGTAATATTCATCGCTCTGTAAATAATCGAGACTAAACCAGACAATCCAGTGATCAACAACATGAGCATCGATCTACGCAACTGGGATAACATGTCATGTGTCAACCAAGTCAGCAAAGCCTAACCACCCGATCACGTTAGTCGTCAAGACAAGCATGGTTGCTGATGACCAATCCTGAGCAGACTGTGAGTCACACATCAAATGACAGTTGTAACAAATACTATCTTGTTGTCCTATTTGGAATCTGGGACCGTATTTTGAGTTAGTTACATCCTTGTTAGAATATTTACGTCAATACAAATACTTCCTTAGCATATACAGACAAATTACCGACATACACGTCGCAATACTGGCCTACCGATCCAGGAACTCTGTCCTCGTTGTTTTAATTGAACTTTGTATAATTTGCAAATTTCAGGAATAGAACGAGGAAAGAGTTTATTAACTTCCTGTACACGTTTAAAAGAATACGAAAACCCGTCGGAGCAATGACTCTTCGGCCCAAACTAATATTTTATGGCACACCGCTTTGTTCGGAATAGCTCTACATGATTGTTCGGAATAGCCTGACCCTGACATTCAGGCTAGTTAACAAGAGTACGAGAAATGAAAAGCTAACTTTGTCTAATATCTAACAGCAACAGGATTAGTGGACAGGAATTACTCGCCTTTGTGAGTGAGTGAATTTAGTTTTATGCCACTTTTAGCAATATTCCAGCAATATCACGGCGGGGGACACCACACATTGCACTCATTTGGGGAATCGAACCCGGGTCTTCGGCGTGACGGGCGAACGCTTTAACCACTAGGTTATCCGTAATATCAATGGATAACCCGCCCCATCTGTAGCATCAGCCACGTTCACAATTTGCAGGCAGGGGACACCAGAAATGGGCTTCACACATTGTACCCATGTGGGGAATCGAACCCGGGCCTTCGGCGTCATGGGCGAACGCTTTAACCACAAGGCTACCCCATCGGCCCACGTCCTTTGCTATGACCTGAATGTCTATATGCGGATGCAGTCCAAGCTTTATTTCGTCGGAGTTTATTAGTTTATTAGTAACATGATTCCAAACCGATGTGTTTAGTTGTATCGATAGGAATATCTCGATACAACTTACTTGCCCGCCAGTAAGTAGTGACAGGATACATGTGTTTTGATGCTGTACCCATCATGATGCAACTTATTTCATTCAAGGCTGACTGTTTATGTCGCAAAGCATTTCATCTCTTTATGTATTAAATATAGAATACGGATTCAGAAATATCATCCTGACATCTAAACAAAGCCACTGACGTTTTCTACGGAAAGGTTGTCAATGAAAAACAAACATCGATCCGTTTTCATCCGTGCAGGTCGGTTCTATCAGATCTTCTTACACACAGAGCGCGTATATGAGAACAAATCATAACTCAGCTCAGCTCATAACAGCTCATGAGTATCAGTTCATGAGAGATAAGTCAGACAGTATGAATCCTCAGAATAGACATTTACTCCATAAAGCATCGCCACATCTCAAGCCTCATGTTGTGAATAGTTTAGCATCCATCAAAACATTGCCCAGTAAATCGCCAGCATGTGAAGATCAGGGTTAAACTTGGTCTTCACATACTTGTTTAAGTCCTTATATGTAATGCCTATGCGACGTAAAATTTGTAAAATATTGAAAAGAATTTTCTAAACCCATGAATCCCGAACTATTCTTACACAATTCTATCAATTTAAACCCAAAGCTGTTAACCCCATCTTTATCTTGTGTGTACCTCTGGTATGGTAGGCTCAGTTTGTCGAATATATTCAGAGGGTTAATATCATTTTCAAGTTGTGGTACGTCCATTTCGAAATCATCAACAATGTGCTTACCAAGTAAAAGGTAATCACACATAGTGATCACTGACAGATAGATAGTGTAATAGGGATTGTTCAATCTCATTAAATGCGTTACAATTCACATACTTAGAACCTTCAGGTGGCAGATATACAATACCAATGTACATATCCTGATCAATCTGAAACACAGACTTTGATATCTTAATCCACAGAACATAAGTGCTTTCTTCTTCTAGACATGTGACTAAATCTAAAGTATTTCTGATTACAAAACCAATACCACCTGATTTTCTTAAGGACCCAGACCTGTGATGAATATGTAATTCATATCCATCTAATCTTAGATCATCAAAGATGTCAGTTTTGGTTTCTTGCAGACCAATAATGTCATACTTCTCAATAAACTCTGTAAATTCGGCATATTCAAGTCTCTTTCTTAGACCACACACATTAAGATTTAAAAAGCTTACGATCTGTTGACTATAATCATTTGCAAAAGCATCATCTTTGTTATTAACATCATCATCATTATCATCATCATCATCATCATCATCATCATCATCAAGATCACTATCACCATCAACATTACCGTCCGCAGCAGCAGAAGAAACACAATTATTATTAACACTTCCCTTATCTATGACGTTCAAGGAATGGTCATGTACAGTTTCAAATGTTGCCTTGGTTGCACAATCAGTTATAATTTCATTATCCATGATATTCAGGGGAGTATTGTTTACAGTTTGCATGGTGGAGTTATTTGAACAGTCAAATGCAATTTCTTCATCTGAGATATTCATATAGTTATCATGTGCAAATTCTAATGTAGGGTTGTTCGCCCATTTAGATGCAGTTTCTTTATCTGATGTATTCAGATAGTTATTACTTACATACTCTAATGTGTGATTGTTCACCCATTTAGATGCAGTTTCTTTATCTGATTTATTCAGATAGTTATTACTTACATACACTTATGCATGATTGTTCACCCATTTAGATGCAGTTTCTTTATCTGATTTATTCAGATAGGTATTACTTACATACACTAATGTGTGATTGTTTACAATAACTCAGATGCAATTTCTTCATCTATGATATTCAAATAGGTGCCATGTGCAGATTCTACTGTGGGACTTTTCACCCATTTAGATGCAGTTTCCTTATCTGATTTATTCAGATAGTTATTACTAACATACACTAATGTGTGATTGTTTACACAATCAGATGCAATTTCTTCATCTATGATATTCAAATAGGTGCCATGTGCAAATTCTACTGTGGGACTTTTCACCCATTTAGAT